ATATGACAACCAGGGGGGTCGTGGTAGTTTGAAGTCAGAAGTCAAATGCCGGTTAATAGACTTTTTTGCCGTACGAGTGTACGTTGTCCAGGGTGCACCACCTGGAGGTAAGTCTATCGCACACCCAAAAAAGTGAAATTAATGTCAGACAAAAAGTTCAAGTCCTTTTTAAGTATTGTAACAATTTATTTACAGTTAATCCTTCTGTTCACTTGGTTCCTCTATAAACTTCATACAGAAATTTATTTACTATTCTGAAGGAACACTTGGTTCATCTTTCATTAACGAAAGCCAGTTATATTTTTCTTAACTTCAAAAATATGTAATTTTGCTGAAGGTGTACGGATTGCAAATACTTCGGCATATTAAAATCACTCTTGTTCTTATAATATCTACAAGAAGTACAGTTATCTTACTGGCCAGCCTAATAGAACATTCAATCTGCCAAAAATCGGCTAGCTTTTTAGGGAGGAGGGATGAGGGGGTGGGGTGGGGGGAGGGGGGTGATGGCCTGCGCTGCCAAATCGTGAATCACTGTCTCTTTAGGATAAAAGAAACTCTCCTATCTACTCTATGTACCAAGCGTTAGGTATTATCACTTTGGGTTAACTGAACTAGTGTTGATTTCGTCAACGCGCGCCTATCAAGTCGGTTGAAATCGTATCGATGCTCTTAGGTGGAAGGTAAATGTATCATGATAGGAAATGCAGAACACCGCCTTTATACCTAAATCAAGTGCTTTAAACATGATCTTTAATGACCTTGGGAAATTTAATTGAAAGGGAATTCAACAACACATGCAAGTGTGAGGAGGTCATAGTTTTGCTCCGAAAATATTCTCTTAACGACTAGATTAGTAGTTTGGTGGAGCCACCTATTTTCTGTATGCTCTGACTTGCACAGATGGCGTGCATTTGTACAAGTATACTTGGACAAAGCATGTTTACCTTTCCCGTTTTTTATCTATCTTGGGTAGCTGAGTCATTGTGGAAAGTGGTCAACGGGAAACGTATATTTTGAACAAAGAAATAACACTATACGGAATGAGGTTAACGATTTCTACGACCAACTACGATGTCTACCTTCTTTAACTCCATTTTACCACATTTTAGTCTTCTTATTTAGAAAAGAAACGCATTTTTATTCTGTTTTTTAATATTTTTGTTCTGTCTGTGCCTGTTCGCCTTGCACCATGGTTACGAGAAATGGAAGCATCTTTCCAAGTTCACATTATCATAACACAACGATGTTGGTTTCTTGGTTGTTTTAAGACTAATGTAAAGGGGAGATTACTGCTAAATCAGAAACTATGGGTTAACTTAAGGTTTCAAAAATCTCTCTTCAAATGCAGAAATGCAGCATTCGGTCTTCACCATATCTGTGAGCCAATTTCTTTCAGTCAATTAAATACCTTCAATACAAATAACGAAGCAATAAAATTTCCTTTAACCATTAGTTTAGCTTGGATTTCGGGTACATTTTTATAGGTACTACCATTCAATAAGTCTAGAATTGTCACAATTGGTATAGGAATTTCTGGGTAACCACTTTATCCGAATGGTCTAATTTCATTACAGAATTGAGCATGTGGTGAATTTTGTAATTACGGTTAATGGTAATGGTTAAAACCAAAACGCTACATCTGGATCTATTGAGAATATAGAATTGGTAAATTATTTACTTCGATTACAATTCTTCCCACTCAGTTTGATAAGTTCAAACGAATTGATGAATCGATCTTATGATAATTTTTTGTGCCTAAATTAGGAAGAAAAATTTTAAAAATATGATACGAATTTATAGAGAATTCTAAGGTAACTTTGGCATTAATTTGTGTTACGTTAAATAATTACATACAATAACGTAATTTGATGGTTAAAATAAAGTTAGCTTTTCCAATTTAATCAAACTGGTGACATAATGAAAAGATGAGAAAAAATACGTTATTATTATTACAAGCGTGAGCCTGAATGATAGTTATGTAACCGATCAGTAGATAGGAATACTTTTCCACCTTCTAAGTAAAGAACAGTTTGCAACCATGTAATACTACGGATCTACCTACGATTAGGTAAACGATTAACTTTTTTGGATTACGTACTGGTTTCTTAGTCTATAAAGGTTATGGGTAACTGGATTCGAGGGAAAATTCTTGTTATCGATTCAAGGAAATTTTTCTTGTCCTAACTTCCTTTTGTTTTATCTACTAGCAGCATACATTATCCAATCGTTGTAGATCGAACTAGCTTAGTTTTGAGATATTTTCTGACGGATATCTACCAAAAATCGGTCATATCCACTAATAAGCGTCGGCCGACCGTTATTCGATGAAACTCTATTTGCGTATTGAAGTAACAGGTTTTTTATAGGAAGGCCTTTAGCCACAATTCGGTGATATGAAGGTAGTACCTAAGTTTAAGTTTACAATGTGAGCCATAATTTCAAGTATTTCTAATCTACTAGCTTCGATGGGGGTCATCATTTTCGCACAATTGGATAACTTTTGTAAACACACTATTTTAAATGTTGCAAAATAAGTGTTTACCACACCTGACGAATTAACACAAAAAGTAGCTTTTATTTAATATATGAAGGTCGAGTATCATAATGCTTGAGAGCAGCTGAATTTGTTTCAATCATTATATGTAATACTTAATTTGTGAATATACTATGCACTTTATTTATTTAATATAGGATAGTCCAAGCAATTCACTTGTTGCAGGTAGGTTTAACTACCCAATAAAGGTAACTAAATTCACTACCTAGACTTAGGCACATAACGAAATATTTATGCAAACAGATTCTAAAATGCATGATAGTTTGAACATACATGCCAAAACACTTTAGATTGTAAAGAAACGGGGGATTCTTGTACGGTGGAAAGTTAGGGGACGCATGAGGCCCTTTATTATCTACTGCTAAAAATGCACAGAAATATTTCTATATAAATCACTATAAACTTAAACATGAAGCGGTTTGACTTACATATTATTTTCATATAAGTAGACATCATAAATTAAATGAATTTCAATTAAATAAATTTCTGAAGGCTTATTAAAATAAGTTTGAAATTATTGAGAAGAGATGTACCATATTACCTTCCTCAATCTTGAAAGTTTGGATCTTGTGATTGATAAAATGTTAGCAAGTTGATAAAAATGTTGCCGAACTGATGATTTCAATTTGGTTGAACTCAGCAGTAATACTACTACTGCAATAAAGATTGCTTAAAGAAATATATTTTGAATATTATTATAAGCAAGTAAACAGCACATTTTTGCAGAAAATATAAATGAAATTAGTTTGTCGAAATCTTGTTGGTATAAATCAATTTAACCTCGCGGAATTTAATATGGCCAATTGCATTTGTGTTCGTCTGTAGTCCCTTAGCCGATTTTTTTACAATAGGAATTTTTGGAATATTCTGCTGCATAAAGTCTTCAAAATCGTGAAAATGGCTTGTGTACCTCTTACAAGCAATAAAAGAAAGTTTACTTTCGAAGCAACCGTGAATCTGGAATGCCTTATGGCTGTTCCATATGTGAATGCTGTATTTTTCACGAAAATGCGACTTTTAAATAGCAGAAATTATAGCCATTATAGCAAAAGGTAAAAATGTGTTACAATTCGCAATTTGTGCAGGGTCTCCGTGGTTGGTAACTCGGTACATTGGAATAGTTCCCATACTTTCCAGTGCAAGGTTCGTATTGACCCGGATTCGAATATACTGGAAAGCTGTAAATTGAAAATATCCGTCCGAATGGTATGCTTTTAAATCGTGTATTTTATTCTTTATCCTATTCCATTTTATTAGGTTTACTGTCATATATATTTTAATCTTCATAGCTAATAATGTAATTGATCATGTTGATCAAATCTATATACTTTCTGTGTATTAGAACATTTTTTATTTTACTTTATTTTGGTATTTTAAAGAATCTTGAATAATAATAGTTACAGTTTTGTTGAGGAACTCTGCACGTGCGTAATGTGCATACAGGTCACCGATCATGGCTCCAAGGTTTTAAATTTAAGAGCAGTTCGTGTTTAATTTACTTGTTCTGTAGATAGACTCCCGAGTCCATTTATGAAAGCGTTTCATAACATTTATACTGTGAGGGGGGTGGGGGTTGATTAGCTTCATGGAGTTCTACTGTTCTTCTCCATTTTAGCCTATTTATTTTCCACCGACATACACTTTCTGTCATTTGTATTTAATCTTCGAAATCTATCAATTCCTCTATTGCCTTGCTGATTTGTTTCGATATTCGTTGATATAGATATTTATCTGCAAAATACTCAATTACTTCTTATAATTTTGTTTGCTATGGTCTCAAATACTCGAGTTCTCCCTTATGTTTGGTTCAAGTGATTTTAGTCTGTTGAGTCCTAAAAACGATTTAAGTGCAAATCTCCTGATCTCTCACCAGAATATCCTATTGTCATCAATAATTTATGGTTTTGGGTTGAAATTTGCAAAATAGAGTTTTATTATGTTTTACAGAATTAACCCTCATTTTGCAAGTTCAAGCATTTTTTTTATTAATTCTTGTTGATCTACTGTTTTATTGTGCATTTATTTTCTTTATTAAGCAACTAACAGTTCTTTACTTCACGTAGAAATCCCATGAGGAAATGATTACTGTGAATTGAGTTATGATGATCCTCATAAAAAATTCTCTCCTGATCTGATGTCCGTCCAATCGTAATAATTACAAATTTTTAATATAAGAGTTGATTATTATCCACTTTTATACAACACATTTGTCTGATCTTCAAAACGAAATGTTATGGCATCTTAATAAATGTATGAAAGGGTGAAGTCAGCTTTTTATTCGAACTCAATACTTTTTATAGTTCAAGTTTGATAGCTCGATCTCTCGCCTATTGGTTCGGTTCAAGTCCTCAATACCTAGGGCATGTTCCTATAGTGATCAATTTGAGTTTTTTAGCTGTTTAAACTTCTCGAGTAGTTTCTATGATTATTTTGATATCGCTGTTATATCCTCTCAATGAAAATGGGTTTAAAATTTTTCTACAATGTTATTGTTTCAATTAATATTGTGGAAAAGTGTGACCTCCTTATTTGATTTTGGTCACTGCCATCTACTTGGAAAAGTTAATTCCGACAAAAATATTTTTTATTCCTTTGTCGAGAATAGTGGGAGATGTACTGAACTTAGAACAATATATATATTTCTAACGCTTTTGAAGCAAATATTAAATTAGCAATTATTCCATTCTTTTTAGTATTACTTAAAGTTGTAACTGTGGCGCAAATTATTTTCCTTAATTATCGACGTCTGTTACATTGTTCTGAGGCTCTATTTCTTATAGACAACTGCTGTAATGTTAGGGGTTCAAAGTAGTAATTCGTAACTACTACTTCCCACTACATAAGACAGAATTCATCATAACTGAATTTGCCTTTTTATCATCTCTTGAGTTTAATCCTCTGCCAAATCGGCTTGCCTGTATTTATCAGTCGGTCTGCGTTCAAATCCAGTAAAAATGGAGTGTAATGAGTGTAATTATTAATAAATCTGTCGGGGCAGGCGATACGCGTTTTTTGAACCTCTAGAGAGTCCCGAAGTACATCCACTTCGACCGCGTTTTACTTTTCCAGATTTTAATGTTTCACTTTCTGATGGCTTTTAAAATGTCTACGAACCTCATTATTTAAATAATCTGATTCCGGTTGACTAATGAACCACGAAAGTGAACGTTCATTTCAGCGCATTCGAATTAATTGAAAGTACAAAAAGTAATCTTTTTGTCTCATTCTTTTATAAACTTAATAATTGAAAATCGTGTTCTCTCTCATACTTATTAAGTGTATCACTTATTTAGGGCCAATTTCAATATAACAATATTGGGTTCCATTCGGCTAGCAAAGTCTGCCTTTATCGCATTTTTAAGCTTGTTTAGCTGTTTGAGTGATCGAAGATTGAGAATGAAACTATGTCTAACCATTTCAAATATGCCAAGGGAAGTACGAAATAGTCCAATTCTCAGTTTATTGTACTTTACACTTTTCATTCAATGGATATAGTTCTCTAAGTCTTGTTCTAATGTTCCTAAGCTCAACTTCAAAGACTTGGGGTCTAGTCTAGGGAGCAGTTGGTTATGCCATTTCAAGGAGCCACTAACCAAGACGTTTTTGCCATTGGTGGATTCGTCAGAGAGTTCAAGGTGCTCTCCATGATTCTGCATAACTATTTTATTCGAAAAGTGTAAGCTTCGTTCCCAAAGTATCTGAAATTTGTACTTTCCATTGTTCAGGAAAGCGAAGGAGGCAAATCGTTCCACAAAATCGGCTTTGTAATTGTGGATCTCTCTTGTTTTGTTGCAAGTGGATTCGTTCGATGTCGACGACGATACCTCCTGAATGGCTACGATGGAAACCGTCGAAGAGCTGGAAAAAGACAGGATAATTCCCTTCTTGTTGTCTCCTTCACTTGCCAACAAAACTTTGGAAGTACCTGTTTCAGGCTGTAAGTCTTTAACTTTATATTTTTACTTATTTGGCTTCAAATTCATCTTCCTTTGCACAGTTCAAGGCTTTTATTTTTTGTTTATTTGAGTTTATTTATTGCTTGATAAACTAATTTGGGTGTTTGTTTTGTTCAACTTTTATGATCTAGTTATTCGCTCTGTAATAATGCTGTCATTAGTGTCTTCAAATGATGTTTCCATTTCTATCCCTTTATCAGATCATGTCCTGATGTTTGGCATTGTCGTGCCTTATTTACTCAATCATTAACCATTGGAACGCCAATTAAATTGGAAAACGTTTTTTTTAATTTAATGGCCTTTTATATCGTGCATTCTATTACTTACATACAGCCCTAATGTCATGTGTTAATTTTTTAATTTACTTCCCTGTTGGAAATTGTCGTATCGGTTCTGATGATTTGTTTACCCACATTCATTCATTTATGAAATAACCGCTGGAAAGGAGGTACGTATTAGTAGCTGGTTGGTTTGGCAAAGTCCAAGCCCTACTTTTGCCATGACAAAGCAGAGTTTTACGACATGTAATTACTGGAAAACATTCAAAAGTGCACCAAAAAAAGATTGGAGTTCAGTTTTGGATGCGGATTTTAGCGAGCCCTACTTAATATGATCTCAAGATTCATCAGTGCATTGAAGGAGAGTACTTGCCTGTTTAATTGAATTCACACCTTGGGACAGTCGACCGTTTTGTGTGTGCGTGCGTGCGTGTGTGGGGGGGGGGGTGTTTGAAGGCTAATATTTTGGTACAATCAGGCGCGCAATCATGGAGCTTTGGGTTAGAAACAATGTTCCTAAAGTCAGATCACGATAAACTCATCCAATCGTGCCATTGTAGAAAAATATTTTTCGTAGTTTTGATGAGTAGTATTCAATCACGTTGTCAAGATATTTATTTGATCTTTGCGGTTCAGTTTGTTCCACCTTTAAATGTGTTTTTCGTGTTTTTTTTTTGTATGCATTCTCATTAGAAAACACACGAACTAAATTCTAGTGAAGTTCAATCTAACCTGTCACATGTTCTGATCTGTGTTGCAGCTATTGTGTATTTCGAGATCATGTTTTTTATAATATGGTTTTTTCTAGTTAAATGTTCTCTTAGGGTCTTAAATAATAAATGCTAACCTAACTCACAAGCTTTTGCAACCATTGATGAACATATTTGATCTCCAATTCCAATTCCTTCTCTGCGATAGTTAGTCGCAAGTGTCGAGTTCATCTGGACAAAGGTTCTTTGTAAGACTTAATCGGAAGAATATAGATTACCGTTAACTCAATAATGACTTGTTATTGGAGTTGATTGGCTCTCTGGTTGGTCCAGCGATTGAAGTGGTGGTGCTACTTCATTCCCTTCATGAGTGTGGGAAGACAGTAATGCTTGAAGGATGAATTCTGTTCATTGAACTGTTCCGGCCATTCTTACTAATCGAATACGTGGCTTATTATGGTTTCTGTTATGGTCTGTTAGGTATAATTTATGTCACTTCTGTTTGCGATTTTCGCCTCTCCCTCCTAATTGACTTGTTTTTAGTCAGTGTTAATTTTGCATTTTTGGTTTTTTTTCACTCTGTGGTCAGGATTGGGGTCAATTATGATTTATGCATTTCCATTTTAATTGTTCAATTCCTGCTTGCTGTTAATTTCTAACCGCTAAAGGTGATCTGCAATTACTTGCTTTTGGTAAAAAAGGTGCGCATTGAAGTCCTTTTATTGTTACATCACTTCAGTTTTTTTTGTGCTTTTGATGCCATATTTTCTTGCTTTTTTTTTCTCACAAAAAATTTGAAAATACAAAATGATTTATTTGGATCTGCCACCCTAAGTAATATCGAAGTCCATGGGGGGAAGGGGGAGGGGGTTTAAAAGAACTCCCTGTTTTAATAGTGAAATAATTGAAGAAAGTCATCTGTTTTTTTGCATGAGATGAGCACTTTTAGGTAAAATCCATTCATCTTGAACTATGCTTGACTGATTCCGGGGGTCGCGGTATCATCGACCTAACGATCATGTACGCTCTTATAATGGTTCACTAACCACCTGCACTTAAAGATTGGTTCTCGAACGTCCTAGTGCATCGATAACTCTACTCGTTCCTGAAATTTTGATCACCCTTTTACTCTCTCATCACTTACCCAATTTCTCCCTCCTCATTTCCTATTTACTTCTCGTCACTCCTCAATTTATCTACCTTGGTGAGGGTGGAAGATAAAAAGGCTACCTGTGGTTAGGTGAATGTATACTATTTTATTCTCCACTCAACAGTTGAATTAACCATGCATGGCTTATATCGCACAAGTATATATCTGCCTAATGAACTGATTTAGGGCAAACATTGGTTTATTGTTTTGCATGTTTCCGAAGTGATTAGGTTCGATTTGGTGTTCTAAATTGAGTTAATGAAATTACCTTGGTGTAAAATGTTATGTTTGCATTGCATTTTATGCTTGTTTTATTTATTTAATCATTTAAGTGTTTTGTTTAATCAGTGTCAATAATCATGCCTCGATTAGGCATGTGATTGTAATTCATTAAATTGAAACTTGGTTGAAGTCCATTACCCCCAGTGCTCATCCTGGGCAGGGCAATTGTGGTTCGAGGCCTCCCTAGTGGGGACCCGAATTGGTTCACCCCTCTCTTTAGTAATTAAACCTAGGCCATATGGTTTTGTCTCATCAGCTGTTCAATGACGGAGGTCATGCACTTGATCTGTCTTCGTCTAGGCGCACTTAAACCTTCGCGCCTCTAGGTTAGCCTTGTAGTATTTGCACTATAATCCGTCACTGTCCCTATAATGGGGAGACAATTGTAGGGTATTTATTACAGTGACCAGATACATCCTCATTGGTTGAGATTGACATCATCCGTTGGAGTGATTTAATACTGTCACATACTAGGGAAAATTGAGAAATTGAATCTAACGCATACTCCAATTCACTATTTTGCCGCTTCTCGTTACAATTTTATTTCCAATCCCTCATAACACTACTTGTGTGTGTGTGTGTGTGTGTGTGTGTGTGTGAAAGTGAATAATATTACGTGTCTTTTGCAGCTTGGGTAAGAGGGGGTGAACACGTAACTCTTCTCTCGTTAGTAATGCGGTAATTTGGATAAAGGGTGAGAAGCACATCGCATGTGACCATGAATTGCTGAGTTAATAATTAGCACCTAACGAAAAGGGTATTATGAAAGTGGAATTACCTTTTCTAATATCATAGAAGTGTGCGCACATGACAGTGTATCACCCTTCTAACCCTTCTCAATCCTCAAAGCACAAAGGGTTAGAGAAACGGAGTAGGTGTTGGGTGGTGTGCTTTATTTGGTTACAGTGTGTGGGTAGAGGAGGTGGACTTGTTTGTGCACTACGACGTGGGCTGCATGCGTATTTGTATTAATTTGCTCGTATATGATGTGATCCGGAACAAGTGAATGAAGGATATGAGAAACCAGGGCTTGTCGATTGACTGTGGAGTGTTCAGTTGGGCCATTGATGTTCTCAACAATTAACTGGGTTGGCTATATGCGACTGAGTACGTTGCTATGTGGGCGCAACATGATAAAACAGCTTCCATAACCTTAATATAGCCGAACTGAAGTAGTTACCACCCAATGTTAGGTTTTGGTTTTCTATTTTTAGTCATTGTTTGCTCATGCATGCATTCAGGCATTGGAAAAGGGCATTTTACCCTCGGTAGTGTGACTACAACAACTGCCTACAGTTGAAGAATAATCCTAAATGGGCAATACAAAACAAGTAGAATACTAACTTTGAGTTTTATCCCTATTGATTGTTTGCCTCATTGATTTGAGTTGATTTACCTTTGTTGTTAATATTTTCTACAGTTGCTCTAACACCAAAAATAATTGGTGGGGGGGGGGGGGGGGAGGGGGTGTTAGTAGGAAGCAGAAAAGACCTGAGTTGATTTTTCACTATTCCAAATAATTAATCTGCAATTGTTACATTTTTTGGAGAAGCTTTCTGCTGCCTCTCAAGAAGCGGGAAGTAGTGCTTGAAACGGTTAATTTAGAGGCCTATAAATAGATAGAAATCATCGTTTCCAAAAAAGCCTTCTTTACAACTCATTTGTCATCTAGTGGCTTTCGAAATTGAGCCTTAGTTGATTTACGTATTGTGACTTGAATGCTAAAGTCCTGAAATTTTTTTGTCACAAATAGCATTTGAAGCTCATTTCAATTTAAAACTTTCTCATTAATTGCATTACCTATTGCCGCGAAAATATTACCGTTTGAAATACATTAATCAATCATTTTTATTTGAATAAGTAGTATAATTGAAACAAAAAAGGTGCGCAATAATTGAGAATCAATCTCCTAGTTTGCCAATCAAATTATTAATTAAGAGATCAAACCTGTAAAAGCACAACTATTTTTTTTCATAATTTGTATTGTACAAAGAATTTTTGGTCGACATTTTTTGTCCTGACAATTTTGAATTCTCGTTCTGCCCCTTTGGCAGGGATTACTTCAATAATGATTTACCCATCATTTTGTGTTCTCAAATGACCGATTTCAAAACTTTGTTTATAGCGATTTGCTCTGAGAATGGACTAATCATGTAGCTACTAAGAATCACAATAAAAGAAGAAGAAAGAGGTATATTTAACTGGCATTGTAAGGACCTAAACCGTAGTGCATAGGTAATTAACTATCACCTCAAACGACGGAGAGTGCCCTAGCACATTAAACGAAGCATATATACTCAAACTTGCATTAACTATAAATTTATGGTGCTTACATTCGCGAGCCAATAATGGTCTCTTTCTTTCTACTGCATTCCAACCACTAGTCTGTTTGATAGCTTTCTGATTAATGTTTGAATCACACAGCTCTCGAAGTGGTCTATCTAAGCGTTGATTGTTACACTTTGGGAATACTTTGTTTGTGGCCTGATTTGGAGATGTCTATTCTTGGATTGTTCACGAAAAAAAACGATGAATTTTCTCTTTCATTTATTTTTTGTGCAATTT